TGTTTGAATCCTGGATTTGCAAAGCCCTTCCCTGCCTGCCTGCTCTCCCTGCAGATCACAGCTTGTCTAACAGACACCTCATACAGTGCAGCCAAACAGGCTCCTGAATTTCACAGTGGTAGCATTCTCCGCGCTCTGCTGTGACCGTGGTCTCTGCTATTAACGTTTCAAATTCTTTTGTTTTGCTGGACCAGAGATGCTTAACCGATTTGGTTTCATTTCACTGCGGAGCAATTTATAGGTGAATGCTGCGTGGAGGAGCCTGGGGTTTGCAGAAAAGCATCAGCCATTAAGAAGTATGTTTTTATAAAGGGGTCAAGTGAGCTTGCAGGTGTGACAGAGCAGTCTAGGACCAAGGTGAAGGTTTGCGAGAGCAGGCTTAACATGGAGATCTTGTTCAGTTTTCACCGAAAAACAAACTACTGCATGAGAATTGAAAAAAAAAAAACCAAACAAACTTGCTGAAAGAAATACGCTCACCAAAACAGGAGTGAGACGTCTCTCTGGAAACAAACCACTCCTCCCCTTTTCCCCATACTCCAGTATGCAGATAGAAACAGATACCCTGAATGAATACAGGCTCTGAGTGAGTCAAGCCTTAATAACGCACTGTGTAAGACAGATTTTTATCTGATGAAACAGATTATCTGTGTAAGACAGATTTTTATTTTGGTAAAAATCACCCACCTTTTTTTCCGAAAACCGGCATTAAATTAGAATGAACAAATACGAAAAACATGGCAACATTTGCTTCTCTGACTTATATGATCTCTGCTATTTCGTGCTGTAAGAAAAACAGGAGGGAGGAGCGAGAACTCACCGAAAGTAGAAAAAGCTGTCGTTTGAGGAGCGATGCCGTTTCACCATGAACCCCAGAGCCATGGCTACCCGCTTCCCTGCAACCCGCCGGAGCCCATTCTGAGCAAGCACACAACGGATCCTGCGCTCGTCTACGACTATCTGATAATGCCATAAAATGACTTTTAGTAAAGCAGGAGGATTCCCACGTGGCAGTAAATCCCAACAGGGCAAAACCCTCCCAGCTGTCTGCGGAGCTTTATTGCAGCCGCTGCGACCATATGCAGCCGGTCTCAACCATCTTTCGCTCCCGCACCGTAAACAGAACCGCGGCGAGAACCATTGGTCCACTTGGAAATACTCTCCAATTCCTGGCCACAAACTGAAAATGTTAATTCGGTCTCCTTTCAAATCCAATTTTCCTTAAGTCTTTTCTCATGCTTTTTTTAACATGTCTTACATATATTACTGACACTGGGGAAACATTAGAGACAAATGTGTGGGTTGAAGAGCTCAAAGAATGCAGTGGGAAACGGGCTGGAAAGGCTGTGAAAGATCATGCAGTAACATGGTGCCAGCTGGCCTCATGGCGAGAGCGGTTGATAACCCAGTGAGATGCTGTACTGGCCACGCGTCTGAAGAACATCATTCACAGCTGGTGTGGGCCGCAAGCAAGCAGAGCCTAAGCCTTCTCATGTTAGTGCCTTGTCAAGACAAAACACGAGTTTTCAAGGGCACAACAGATCACCCAGCAAACAATGTGAACCTGGAGTAATGGAAGTGACGTGAATCACAGACCCAGAGGTGGTGGATTTCTACAGGACGCCTGGATGCTGACCCAGGGTGGGCTTGTTTCTGCAGGGGCATCGCAGCGCTCTCCTCTCCCCATCCACTAACCCAGTCACACTGAAACAAAGTTAAAAGCCAGAAGTAGGTTCAGCTGAAACAGAAAATCTGATGACGAAAAAACCTGCAACCTATCTCCATCACTCCTTCCTACAGCATTCCCGAATCCTTTCTATTTTAAATCAACTCTGAACAGACAGCATCCATCCCCTGTCACCATCTGGCAAAGCACGCAGCGTTACAGTATCCCAAATCTTGATGTGCACCACGATAACTAATCTTCCGTACTCCAGAATTTTATAGGTATTTATCTATAGACATCTCCTGTTTCTTAACAGGACCCAAACACCTCAAAAGAATGAAAAAGCAACATGACAGCAGCCTCTATTTCCTTCTAATCCCTGCAGGGTTTTAATTTATAAAGCTATATAATACTTTCTTTGAAGGCAAGGCTCTTATATTTGTCAGAGCAAGAAAAGGTAGATGCTATCAGTCAACCTGGCCCTGCAAACCTGTATAACACCATGACATCACCTAGCATCACCTGTTTAAAATGGGAAAGGGCTGACTCACTGGGGTAGGAACAGGGAAGTTTTTACTGCAACAGATCGAGACTCATACAGAAAGCAGGGAGAGCAGAAGGTGAGAGAATGGCAATTCCCTCTCATGAATTAAGAGTCAGCTGCTATGTGTTATCTTCTTTCAGGCAGAAACAGTTGTCGCTGATTTGTCCCATTGGAAAAAATCCCAAACAACAGCATAATTCTAAACACGAATCAATCTTTTTAGCCTCCTCTTCCCTCCAGCCCATCTCCTCCCAGTATACTAATCTGTTCCTCATCTTCAGTGCTTCATTCCCACATGCTTTCCGAGTTGTTTTTCCTGCTGTTCTACCCACCAACTGCATTTTTCAGGCACCCTTAGATAGAGTGAAACATATGGGAGGGAAGGGAGAAATTATTGGCAAGTTTCACTTTACAGTGGAACTGAATTTCCTTTATGGTTTTATTTATAAAATACCATTAGAAAAGTAATAGCTCTAACCATAAACTTTCGAAGTTGGCATATTCAGTTGGTGTACCATCTGATTAGACCACAAAAGCAAAGAGACCTCCATCAAACCATCAGTCTTACCAACTAAAGGGAACTACAAGGCTGAGTAGTGCTGTTCCGCTTTCTTCCCCAAAAGAACTTATCAGCAATTTGTGACCCTCACCGGCAGCATGAGGCTTCAAACAGCGCTCGAGGTGAGGCTCGTGCTTTTGAACTGCAACACTCATTTGTGCAAACCTGTATCTCCAAATAAACTGAATCTCAGCCTGCTTTCCACATAGCTTGGCTACTCTCAACGGACCTCCCTTGCCTCCAAACCGTGCCCTCTGTTCACTTCAGCAGATGCACCTCTGAAAGGAGGAAGATCACACAGATTGATAACAAAAATGCTTTGTTCCATTTGCAGCAGATGATCGTATCCAGTCACAAAAACCCCAAAGCACTGTCCCCATCTCCTGCCTGACAGATGCAGGATGCTTTGCTGTAAGGCTGATGTGGAAGGCCAAAGGAGGAGGGTGACTGGATGGAAGGTAAAGAGCAACCACCGGCTTGTCCCCGTTGAACATCCTGCACATCACCGGCTTGCCAGGGTTCTGTCCCCCAAACCTCTGTGTGGACTCTGCCACTGAAACTTCTTATTTCATTTGCTCCCTGATCCTCCTATTTAAATCCATGCCAAGAAGACTTAAGAGGACTGACAGAACAGAGCAGACCAGCTATGCCTAATGCCATCACCACATGCGATGGATTTTATGCTTTCAAAGCCATCAGAGAAAATCCACGTTTCATTTAAGTCTAGTTGACAATTCGTGCCCACGCTGGCAGAGAGTAGAGGGGGGTCTGGTTTTAAAGAGAAGGTGGCTTTCCTGTGTATAGTATCACATCTTAAACCAAAGTTGTAGGGATTCATTATAGCTACATTTATTGGCTTTCCCAGAATGATAGCATTTCCCTTACACTGCAAAAGGAAGTATCATCAGTTCACATTCAGCATGAGTACCAAGTTAGGGAAAGACAAATATATTATTTATGGCAAAGAGATTTTTGCATTGCAAAACTTCAAGCAAGGCTGGTTACAAACAACGGTAAAAATAACAGGTACTCAGTCACATGGTGGTATTATTTAACATGCTTGTGCTCACCGAGTTGCTTTTTATGGCCATGTTGCAAGTCTCTGAAAATAGGGATTTATAACAAAACTTCACTCACAACAGACTGGGCGGACATTACTGTGACTGCAGGAGCAACATCATCCACATCATTAGTCTCATTTGGTAAGCAGCAGTCTTTTCTGTAACTCCTGAAGTTAACAAGACCTCTAATATCCGAAGCCTGGCTATCTCCGTGATTTTATGGTGCTGCCTTTCAGACGGAGAAGATAGCACCATTGATTGAAGCAGCACAGCATGACAGATGCAACTAATGAATTCAACTCAGCTAAAGGGGAAGGGAAGGTGCACTAAACAATGTAAAAATCACAGAAGCCTGCCGTGGCCTTAAGTACAGGGCAACCTATTTTTCACTCCATCTAGTTCTCCTGCTGGGTTACGGTGGAATGTAACACAGAGTAATGTTTAATAAAAACAATAAAGAGACTTTACAAATAGGAAAAACTGTGTGTGAGAGCTTTTGCTTGCCTCATATACAATCCACTCCCAGCCTGAATTGCCAGCCAAAAACTAAACAAGCAAGTATATACCAAACGGAGCACTAAAATGGTCAGAATTTACTGGGTTTTCCAGTCTCCTGAAAAACAGACTCTGTGTTCATCGCAGCAACACTGCAATAACTATAACAATCAACTGACATTATCAAGGGTTCTTAATGTGCCTGAACTGCACCACACCTCCCCGGGCTTTGCCAGCGCTAGCGCAACTGATCTGCTCGCACCAACGCAATTCCTCACCCTGGCCACCGCACCGACCGGCAGAGAAGTACTGCACGCATCGGGGCAAGTTTCTCCAAAGCTGAGTTTCTCTAAAGCAAGTTTCGTCCCATGAAATTTAAAGGCTGCAGCTTCTTTGAAACAGATGCAGAAGAAGGTATGAGTCCATATGCTTAACCTGAAGTTTTCGTCAGCTGTTAAGAGCAGTAAAAGTTTTCAGTCCTGTGTCAGCAGTACACTGTATACTAAACAACTTCTAACAGACCAGAGTCAGCCCAAAAAAACACCCGTCTGTCAGTTTAACAATAAATCCCCTTCCTTGCTCTCATTCTGTGAGGGCACACGCATGCTGCATGTAGATTTTGCGAAGTGCCTCTGGATGAGGCGAGATTGTTTTGGGAGATGCACTGACCCTTACCTGTCATCAGCGTTGCGGAGAGACGGGAGACGGAAACTAGTGTTCCTGTCCAGCTTTGACTGACTCTTTGTCCTCTTGATGGACCCTTTCAGACGTTTACTGAAGAAGCCCTAAAATGAGAAGTTGCAGGAGTGAAACAGGGAAACTAATGCCAGTAATAAATCAATCAATGCGCTGTCACAGAGTCCAAAGTCAGCAGTGATTCCTGCTGACAATGATTACAGAATGTGCTGTATTGGGATTCCTCTGCTCAGGAAGAAAGGCAGGGCTAGACTGTCAATGACAGTTCCAGTATGTGATAGCTTCAAATTGCAATAATTAGCACTACTCACATTACACGTGCACTTCAATGAATTCCAACTATTATACAAGAGCTCCAAAATCCCACAGTTATTTAATAAGGAGTAGTCTTAGATATCAGTATTTGTTCCTACCTCCCCCTCCACATGCCATGTTTTTAATTCTTGGTCAGATTAAGAGTGCAAGACGTCTTTGATTATGAGCTTCTACTGCACCGTCTCTTGCACCCAGGTTTTTCTTTTCAATTTAGATATAGCAGGTAAGTCTTACAAGAGTTTGTGATTTCAGTAGTCTCACTAGCCAGAACTGAAAATTTCAGAAGATTTCACATACTAGTGACTTCAGATACCAGTTCTGGTATGGCTTTGAAGCAAAGCTCAACTCAAAAAATCGACCCGTGATCTAAAAATACTAAATCCTCAAGTAATCTGTCTTCTGAGCTATAGTTGTTCACCAAATAATCACAGACCAAAGCCGTGTTAGTTGGAGGGAGCCTCTGGGGGTCATCTACCCAGCCTCCTGCTCAGTGTGGGTGCACTGCCAACACTAGGTCAGCCTAACCCTGACTTTGTCTAGCTATACTCTTGAAAACCTCTGGGGATGGAGATTTTACCACCTCTCTGGGCCACTCAGTCCAGTGCTGCATTGCCCTTCCAATGAGAAAAATCTTCCTCGTGTTCAACAAAAAAACTCTCAAGCAGCAATCTGCAGCTGCTGCCTCATTATAGCCTCTGCCACTGTGGGGAAAAGTTTGGCTCCATCATCACTGTAATCCCCCTCAGGAGCTTCTGCTGTGTTACCAGTACTGAAACACAAGTACATCTGACCACTGATACACAAAAGGGTGCGTGCATCTGTACATGTGGGGAAAACACAGAAATATTTAAACACCTGCATGCTTGATTTTTCTCCTACAGCACTTTAAATTACTTTGAGCATAATACGTGTCTTAAATGAACCATATTGTGTCAAAATATTTCCAGGGCTTGCAGGCATATATGCACGTACATTCTTTGGCATGATCAAAGCAAATACAGAAGTTCTTAGTCCAGTAGGATTAAGCAACATTTTACTGGCCAAATCTGTTTTGCTCTTTCACAGAACAGCTGCACAGAGCCACCGTACCCTGTGCACCACTGTCGGGGAATTTACCAAACACACACGAGTGAAACCACGTTTGTTAAGAATATTACAGACAGGTTATAAATTGATAGAGTTTGCTCAGAGTGAATGTTCTTTTGATGTGGATTGAACCAGCAGATCTACAGCCTTACTTTAGTAGTAAAGGTCCAGTGCCAGTGACAGCCAGCTAGGGCCAGCTCTCTCTCCCATCATCCGTGTTTTGCTAGGATAGGAGTCGAATACAGCTAATTTTGAACACATTTGCAAGGCCTCCACAAGCTGCGTTTGGGACAGGTGACAGATGTTGCCCGCAGCTGCCTCCTGTAATACAGAAATCAGCAAATTGGAGACAAACAAGGTCTCCTGTTCTTTCCTATGCAGAACACTGACAAAGCAAGAGTGTTTTATTGGCTCCAGGTGACTCAGCCAGGCTGAAGTATGTGACTTGTTCATCTCTCAGACTTGTAAGAATTAGGCCATCGCAACCAAAGATGACTTTATCTGTAATCTTTTGGTCTGAAAAATCTCACATCTCTTTCACCTCTCTAGGAAGAAAAGAAGGTTTATCTACGATAGGAGAAGGTGCTACGTAATTTCATCTAGGCTGCCTTTCCCACAGAAGGTTGGACCAGATGATCTTTTGAGGTTCCTTCCAACCCGGGCTGCTCTATGATTCTACAGTATTCAAAGGAAAGGTCTATCACCCTCTTCTTATCAGTGGATGCCAGGTTAATTGCTGGAAAAGAAGTTGCTTCTGAACAGCAAAGCCCACATTTGGTCAGGGTTCAAGACATACACTGTAAGAACCTCTAAACCAATTTTCCAATCTCCTATTTATCTTCCCATGCTTTCAGTGCTTACTTTTGAAACAAAATGTATCCTCTTTCCTTTAAACAAGCACATCCTTCAACCCCCCCTCTGCCTTTCCTCATTCTGTTGTCCTTGGTCCCTTTACATTCTTTTTGTCCCTCTTCTTCCGCACAATTCACTCCTCCTTGAAACAGCACAATTACTTTCTCAGTACCCACTGGTAGGTGGGTTCTCTCTCTCCTTGCACTCGTTTTCACTCTCCTTCTTTCAATGAGTGAGTCCTGCTTAGTTGTCAAGTGTAAAAAAACCCACCAAATACACAGTTCCTCAAACCCACACCCATGACATCTTCAGCAAATACAGCAAGGTGGCCTGTCCTCTCTCTTCCGTTGAGATCTGGATGGTGGCACGTTACTGAAAGCCTGTCCATACCTGATGCTGGCTGTAGGATCTTTCCAGCACATCCAGATCATCCTCTCCCAAATATTTGTGTAGGAAACAACCTGCTCACACACACCAGAGCCTGACACATGCCTGTCCACGGGCAGCACAGAGAAACTGGGGTGCCCTGTGGGATGGTGCTGCAGGGGGCAAAAGAAGAGGGAATCTGTTTTCTGCATCTGAAGGTAGTGCTACATTTAAGGCTGCCCTTCGATTTCTGAGGCTTGCCAGCCAGCAGGCTCCTCAGGGGTGAAAGCTGCTATATTCTCCTGAAATAGGAAATAAAGTAGGAAAGAAAAAGCCTGATATCTAGCTACTGCAAAAAAACCCTCCAGAAATCTACACAGCGTGCTGGGGAAAAGGTACTGTCAAAAGAGAAGAAGTGGTTTTAGCTCTGTGTGCCACTCAAACTCTACCCGTGTTCCTGCACTTTCCTTGGTCCTGGTACTGAAAAAGTGCCTTTGAAAAAAACCCTGTAATCAATAGATGCTCTTGGGCTTCTCTTGGGGCCATTGCTGGAATTCAAGCAGAGGATGTATAGCACTTTCAAAGGCACTTTCATATATTCTGACCTCTCAGCATAAAAGGTAACAAATCCAACTACAGGGATTCAGATCTGGTGGACCCTGGCTTCATTCCAGTACCTCTCAGGCTACTCAAATTGCGAACATGAAATAACATGTTCTTCTCCCCTTAAGGGCAAATAAGACAAAGCTGACCCAATTCTGTGAGTCCAAAAGTATTTATATTGAATGATTCCAAATCCCACTCAGGGAGGGACTATGAATATTCATTTTTGTATGCATACACAATTTTAAATCAGCATTGCTCTAACATTAGTGAAACATGTTCTTGGTTTAACTGAACATAATCTATTCCCTAATGAAATAAATATGTTCTATGGGGTCGAATAAGGCTACCTAGAGTTGACTACACACCAAAAAAAAAAAAATTAGGGTAAGAACATACTTAAGGATAAAAATTATTCAAACAAAGAGTGTGCTTATTGGTCATCCTCAAGAGACTTGCAAACATTTGCAGTATTTGCTTTCTGCACCTTGCCGGCAGTTCATGCAGGGCCACTGCTTACAGATGGACAACCTGGGAGCAGCATGAAAAATTCACACGTGCCAGAAATGAGCAGAGTTTCTCGACTTCCACTTGCCAAAGGAAATGCTTTTAAATACTGAATGCGGAGAGGAAAAAGATGTAGTGATGAAAAATAAACTTCTATCTGCAGCTATGCCATCTAACTGAAAGCTTTACTTCCTTTTCCTTCTATAGAGAGGAAATCCTTGCCAATGCTAATAACTGTAGCTTGTGCCATTAAAAAGACAAAACCACCCTTACTACTTTTCTTATTGTCTAGGTGTTTCTCTTAAAGACTTAATTCAACATGAAATACACTGCTGTTTGGTTGTTATACTTAAGTGTAATGAAGTGTCTGAGCTTTAAGGGTCATCATGGAACATTTTTAAAAACAGTCAGAATTTTACTGCTTAAACAAATGCCCTCAGACAAAAAGATGTAAACTTACTACCCAAGCTGCCAGAAATTATGAGAATATGTCCTTAATCAAAAAAAAAGTACAAAATATTTGGTAGGATAAATTATCTAGGATGCAATTTGAAAAGATCGGTACTGTGTAAATGCAGTATTTTAAGAGGAGACCAGTGAGAGACTAACTGTAGAATTGTGCCTTGATCCCTCAAGAGGCAGACTTGATGGTCCCACCCCCCCAAAGCTCAGTATAAATTCCCCTCAGAACCACAGGTTTAGGGGAACAGGGAAGGAAAAAGAGACACAGGGGGAGAGAGAGTGAGCGCACAAGCACGCACTCAATCAAGCATGTGGAATAGGTTCAGAGCAGGTTCATCATCTCAGCCAAAAGCATAGAACACTGGGGTAAGAAATCCCAATGATGTAACATCTAAAAATAATCCAATCCCACTGAGAATTCTATTCATCTCATTTGGAAGTTAAGCAACTCATCCCTCTCACTCTGCCAAGAAGAAATCGCCACAGGAGAAGTGATAAATTCAGCAGGAACTTCCCTCCATAGCTGCACTGGGAAGGTACAGAAACTCTGACCCCCAAGTATTTTAAACTCAGGGATGGTTGTTGCTCAGGGTGGCGTTGGCTTTAGGAAGTGCTCGCTCTATCTCAAAGATGACAACTGTCTGTCTGTCCTTAATCTCAGTAGAGCAGCACATGAACTGCCCAATGAATTCAAAGACAGCCCAAGTGTGAACTACTCAACTCTTCGACTACTGCTCCCTACACACGCACCGATTCTTCACTTTGGAGAGAATGGCCCATGCAGAATGAATAACGACTGTCCTTGTTGTTTTGAAAGCGAAAGGTTAATTCAGCCATGAACTAGTAGAACTACATATAACATTAATTATCCATCAATAAAAGGCAACGGAATTAGTGG